AATTTTCCAAAATGTGCTTCCTTTCATTGGCTCTCTGACTTCTGCGATGATCCGTTAGTGCTGGCAATGCACAACTGTGCTCTCAGGGTTGCCATGATGCTTCGGCCTTTTCCCGTGGAATACCAATCCACTGGTATTCTTCCTGGCAAAAGACCTTGAATGTGTGGTGAGAAAGGTGGTGACAAAATTTGTGAAATACTCGGTTCTTTGCTCGGCAAAAGGCCTCACCAGCATGCTCAAGATTGACATGAGCGATCCAAACAACCACACCCCACTTGAGAAAGTGGACATCGGCCTTGCGGCCCAACAGATTCTGAAAAGCCTCAAAGTAAGTGCAAAAGATGCATTTACATTTAGGATGAAATGTAAGCAATTTCTTGTCGCCGTAACACAGAAGATACTTGAGAAAAGCCCACTACGATTGCCCATAGTAAGAGGCCTTACTTCACCGGACCCCAGGCAAATGTGCTCGGAGCCAGACGAGTGTCTGGAAGACATCAAAAAAGTTTTGAACTCTCTCACTGCGGCAGAGAGGATCAGTGATCATCAGAGAGACACTGTGCTCGCGGAATACGCCGAGCTATTGCAAGAACGAAGGCACGTCTTGCAACTGTTTGAAAGAACTTCGGACACCTTAGACAGGCTTTTTTACGACCTCCTGAAGATCAATTCGTCACACAGTGAACTGTGGGATGTCGTTAAGCTTCTGCTTTTCCTCAGTAACGGGCAAGCGAGTGTTGAGAGAGGATTCAGTGTCAATCGGCAGGTCACTGTGGAAAATATGAGACATTTCCTACATCTCGCAGCAAATTGTATGTGACGCTGTAAACAAGGCAAGTGGCATCTTGAATGTACAAATCACGAAGGAACTCAAGACGTCTGTGGCTTGTACAAGGCACCATTACCGTGTTTTTTTGGAAGCCAAGAAGAAGCGGGAGCTCGAAGATGCAAGGCAGGTGAAAAGGCGCTGCATTGGCGAAGAAGTTGAAAGATTGAGAAAAGAAGAAACTGGGAAGTAGCTGTTGCTGAATTGACGGCTTCAGCAGACAATCATGCAGAGAAGGCGGAAGCCACGAGTGAGCTCACATGGATCCTGAAATCCAACAGCCTCAGGAAAACTGCCAAAAGCAAGTCACAGGAAATTCTGAGCACTAACCTCGAAGTTCAGAAAAAGCAATGTGAACTACCATAAACATTGGGCGAGTGCTTGTTTGGTGTATATTTTTTGTTTAACGTGTGGGACACGGCAAAATGTGTTGCTAATGTGCTTTTTTGAATCTAGCATAAAAAGGGAAAGCCCTTAATATCATGCCTCGTGCAATTAATATTACAGTTTTAACGCATTTAGAATTGTGTTTTGTCTAAGTAAGGCTCTCAACATGGCCCTTGAAAATATCCTGGTTGGGCCTAAAAAGCCCTTGAAAACCCTTGAATTTTTGTCTTCAAGGCGAGCATGGACCCTGCTCCCGTTGTGAATTCTGTGTATTTCTTGTGGTGGTTAGTTTTGCATTTGTCTCCAGCATCAGCGAAAAAATTGATTTTGCGGCACAGTCTTGACAGCTTATTAGGTGCCAAGAAAACTATATACTGGTACGTCGTACCGGTCAGCTACCTCGGGTAATGGAGTGCATGTACGGAATTACAACTGGTCTAAGCGTGCTTTTTTTCCGAAATTGCCTTCGTATGCCTTTTATATTCTTGAAGAACACTTGGAGGGAAACCAGTCCTCTGCAGGCGCGCTGCCTGTTTCTTGAAGCTTTCTTGCGCAGTGTGTTCACATGATTTTTCAACGGACTCCTCAAGACATATTGAAGCAATTCCTTATCTGAAAACCTTAGAATGGTTGTCAAACAATTTTTTTGGCGGAAAATTTTTGGCTAAATTTTGCGACAAAATTTCCCACTAACTATAGCAGAAAATTCTGCCACCACATTTGGCGGGTCGATAGGGTCATGACGCACGTGGCTGCGCGCTTTGAATTATGGGATTTTTTAAAGCCGCCCACGCCGAATTTTCTGCGACACGAACTCGGAAACATTATTGCGTTAAAACTCAAGCTTCACGTAAATGAATTTTTCTGTACCGCATTATTTCCAGTTCACCCGGAACTTAACCCCCAATGAACCGCCCTCGAAGCTGCTATTTTCCTCGGAACCAGACATTATTTTTTTAATTATTATTTTCGATACGGGGAACTTTTTTGAAGTTCTCAGGACAAGTGTATGTTAACCCTTGAAGGTTGGACAATTCTATGTCCGTGTACTATTTTCTTCAGCATAAACCCCGATAATATTCGATATTTTGTCAGACACCAAAAATTAGTACCGAAAACCACCGACCCGGTGGGAAAGAATAAACCCCGAAAAAACATCCCCGAATTCGGAAGAGAGATACGCACCGAAAGCACGAAAACCTATTGATAACTTCTTGCCTACGCTGCTTAAAGACTTCATTAATGATCGACCGCATTTGTATTCATTGTTGAATTAAAAAAAACAGCGTTGCCGTCATTTTAGTTAGGTAGATGGTTTAGCGCTCTGTGGGCGGCACCGTTTTGTTCGACAGCAGCGCCCTCTCCATACATCCGGGAAGTTCAGCGGGTTCGGCGGGGTAAAACGAGAGAGAGGGCACGCGCCCGACTCCGCTAGCAGACGACAAAACGGGAGATCGCCATTCTCCATCTTTGGGCTATATCGGGGGGCTGTACGGAACATCAAACTCTCGCTCGTGGCTGCTTTTGTGAAGTGGTTCGCGTTCTTAGAATAGTTATGGCTACTCCAAAATCAGCCTAGAGCTCTCAGTTGTTCTACTTCGGTAAATGATCAACTGACATATCTTTTTTCGTTACTTAAATAGCAGTTGAGTCAGCCGGCAGTACTACCCTCAACTACTGCGTGTATTGCGGCGGGAGAGCACGTTTTTATTTATTATTTCAGACATACACTCATGGTCGCTAAAGGCCTAAACTAGTACGAACTCTGTATAGTAAAAAAGGCACAGCCACCGGATTCACTTCTCGCCGGAGAGACCGGCCAGTCTGACACAGTTTTCCCTATTTTTAATTTTTTTATTTGCACGCAGATAACAGCGCAATTGGACTCTGTTAGTCTTTTTATCTAGCATACTAATACACGATAACTGGCATACCAAAATCTGCGTATCTGCGCTTGAAATTTCCAAAATGACGCGATTTTAAACAGAGTTTGTACGCCAGCCGGATGCTAGGTACTGCCCACTCGGCGGAGCAGACGACATGCGAATGAGAGGGGGTGGGCTATTTTTTCCACTTTTTACCCTCTCCGCTATGAAACATAAAACGCACCGGGGGAGGGGGGGGGGGGGGTGTAGAGATTTTGTGCTTTATGCTTTTTGAAACTCAGTCTTCCCAGTGTTGCCAGTGACATCTTTAGATTTGATTTGCTAATAAGACCACTTTGGACCTTTACCTGATGTGGTAAGGATAAAAAGGACACCTTCCCCCAACGTGCTAGCATTTTTAATAGACGTTCACTGTCGTTCCCGTTGCTCAATTCACGCAGGAATTAACCAAGCTCAACATGTCTTTTAAAACGAAAAGTTAATATTACAGTTGTTTTCCTGACGATTTTTACTACAACACTCGAACAAATACTTGTCTTTTAATGGTCATATATTTTTGAAGGCGAGAATTCCGAGTTCGTAGCTTTATCTTTGCCAGTTGCTCCTGCTGATCGAGAGTTCGCGCAGCCGAAATGCATCCTTTAATGAAGAGCTCGCGCTTGCAGACTAGTAGCGGAATTTTTGTACATTACAGAAAGCTGGGAAGCAAAATATTATGCGAAACAAAGGGCAAATGAACACAGATAAGTATAAACTATGTGAATACGTTAAAACAGCAGGGCTACTTTTCGAGAGAAAATTAATCAACGAAATGAGATCACAATGGCGCATGCCATGCCATTTCTAGCGACATTGGGACCGGGACTCGTAGCCGGTTGCCTGCGGGCCGCGTCCCAGCAAGTCACGGGCTACATGCGGCCCGCAGGCCGCGTGTTTGAGACCCCTGCTATAGAGTGTGGACGTCATCATAGACAAATCGAGCGAAGACACGAGATTGGACACGAGTGACTAGTCATTGTTCGGCTGGACCTCGTGTCAAATGAACGCGTGGAAGGACGCTCGGAATCGGGCTCGAGTCCAATCGCTGAGTCGGCCCCCGTCTGGGATGACGCTTAATGGAGGTAGAGGACGATGTTCGCAGGCCTAGGTTACTCTAGGTGATGCTGACGCAGTCAACACCACGTGACGTAATTCCGACTTGAAATATCGCCGGAAGCCATATGTTGATGAACTGTTCTCTCTATGCACAGAGGCAATGTTTTCCAGCTCGCTCGTGTTCTTTTGCGTCGTCATCGACCGCATCTGCCGGAGGGGTCGGCGACACGAAGGAGCGTCGGCTGATACTCGATTTTTATACGCACCGGTCTTTATAACCATCCATAGAGAAGTTGGCCCGTCGGTGGCCATAATAGCCCCAGTAGATTCCACAGCGCGTATTCCGAAGAAAGAAAAATGCGGAGTAGGCAAGGTTAAATGCCGCCGAAATGCGTCTCCGGTCGTACTCAGCGAGTTCTGTCATCGACGGAGCCATTCGCCATGCTTGTGCATTTCACCAACACCAGAAAGGACGCCAATAACTAAGTGTCTGCGTGGAAACTAACGGGGAAAGTGGCGGACGCTGTTCATCAGCATGGCCGGGAACGTGGCTTACCGGAAGGGAGAAAGCGTTTTGGGAAGCCACCTATACTGGACGCTTTTTGTCCGGTGGTCTCGACACAAGATTGTTGAAATAAAGATGAAAGTTCAAATATTGATTCGTATCACGTGTGAAGAGTTAAGGCTGATTGCGCACACCGTCGGATATAATGACATCCTGTGGGTGTGCGGAAAACGTGGCGGAAGCACAACCCACAGCGATAAAGTTCGATGTCTCCAGACCGTGCCGTCGGTGCCCACTTTTCTCGTCGGCGCGGGAACCTCAGCTGAACACTTTGGAGTCGAAGGTATGATATTATTATGGGGTATTAGATAAGCTTTATAGTTCTCGTTGTGGCATTATGCGGGCCAATGTAATTTTCCGATGGAGCATTTTACTGGGCTCTCAGACGCCCAGATTTTAAGAGATCTTTCATTTCGTCCTCGTGCACAGTTAATTAGGTTAAACACCTCTAAGAGTAAGTTTTACTACTCTTCGTATTTAGAATATTGCGTATCCTTTATTTTAGAAAGGTACAGCGCTCTTCCGGAAATAAACACAGTGTATTCGACGGAAGGGGAAGGAGGGGGGGGGGGGGGCAAAATTTTCCCCCCGTATTGTTTACATAGAATTTTAAGCATTACTTCGGAAAAGGGAAACCCCCACTTTCGCCCCCCCCCCCCCCCCCCCCCCAAATCCACACACACACACACTTTTGCTCCTATGCTGCTGGCTTTTATTTTAAAAGAACTCAGTAAATTGTTGCATTGTCAAGGAACACCAAAGCAGTAATTTAAAGTTGCCCACGTAACAGTACATGTGCGCTGTAAATGTGTATTAAGAAGCGACATCAGTATTTTCAATCGGTAAGGTTTTCCGCGGCACCGAACAAACGAAGCTACATCTCTTTGCAATAAAAAGTGACGGGCGGGTATTTTGCGGAAAAAAGCTAAAACCACTTAAAATATATTTTAATATGCACCCAATGCTTTTGATAAGACGGTCATATTATCGTGTGTTTGTGTTTGAAGCAAAGGGAAGGTAAGCTCGAAGAGGCATGCATAAGCAGCCAATGCTTTGGAGACGGTGCGCGCATGTTCACGTTCGGACTGTTATTAGACAGTTTTAGTGGATCGTACGCTATAGCCTTGCGTACGCAATAAAATTGCGGGTCGGGAGTGCGCGTGCGCAGAACGCAATAGAAGAACTAGCGTATTGCGTACGCACGCAACGCTGGGGATTTTGCGTGGCGGGCTAGCGGGCTCTGCGGGACGTTCTCGAGAGATCTCGGACCCAACGAGAGCACCAGTTTCAAGATGGCGGTTACCTCGACTGGCGCAGCAAAGGCGACGTGGTGTTTTCGAAGTTCTGTGTTACGTGAAATTGCGTGGTGTTCGACCTACGGCGGTCGAATCAGATCGCCGTGCAGCTGAAGGAGTGCACAGTGAAAATGTTCGCCGCTCGGAATGTGCGTCAACGCTGCGATCTGCTCAACGCTAAGCCTATTCGCACAGTTCATCGCCGATGGACGAGCGACTCTAAAAGAAATCGCCAAAGTTCTCGCTATGTACTGGACATCAGTAGGTCATGAATTTCATTCCGCGATAGCATTGATAAAAGGTGCCGTTTCAAAGGGAAGATTGACGGAGGCTCCGTGATCGAATTTGGCTACGCACTCTTAAGCCTGGTTCAGAAAGTTGCGCTTGACTGCGTTTGACTGCGTTGCGGCAGCAAGAAACCAGGACATCCCTGCTACTTATCTCGCGTGCTAAGATGATTCTTTGAATTCGATTGCACGCTTCACACGAAGCACAGATGTGCCGGTGACTCTCTTTCGGTTCTCGACGCAACGCAGTCAAACGCACTCAAACTCAAGTGTCTGAACCGGCCTTTACTCGTATCCTCTGTACCCCTCAGAAAAGCGCGCTTGACGAGGCAGCCGCGGCTTGGTTTAATTTGAAATAAAATGATTGGACACGTTTTCATTTTCAATATTTCTTTCCAGGAGCATGGTTGCGCTATAAGCACGCGGAATTCTGCAGCTTTAGCAAATCTAACCAAGATCATGCGCGGTGTTCACTCGAAAACGTAACGCACAACTAAATTTGGTCCGAGCAGCTCATTTTTAGCGTACGCTATACTATTGCGTATTGCGTACGCAAGAGGCAGCAACGCTATACTAAAACTGTCTATTATCATGTTCCATACACAAAGTAAACTTAAGGCGCTGTTTAAAAATAATTACTTAAATTAAGCAGGTACGCAATAATTTCAGCCCCATGTATAAGCAAAAATAACTAATGCATGGATAATACACCTTTTACACAGGCACCTTTACCCGCAGTTTAGTCACCTCAAACTGCTAGCTGCTACACGTCACCACAGTTAACACACCATATACTCACGGATAGCTACTTTAGAAAAAGTTAGGGGTGCGTGAGCACAGCTTTGTTGAGTGCTCAAGTTGTTCAAGCGCCCGTTCAAGCGCCTGGACTGCATAGCCGCAGAATATTGTCTACAATTAATGTGTGGTGGTTCATGGTTGAAAAAACCCCGAGGCTGCGGGTAAACAACACAACACTAAAAAGTCTCTAAAATGTGTGGTAATTGTGGCTTAGCGTAACTGCAGTTAAGTGTGCCCTTGTAATTAGGATATAAAAAGTTTCACGCAAGAGAAAATGTTGAGCAGTATAGATGCGCCTTGTGCGCATACACGATTGACTCTCTCCTTCCCCCCTTTTCAACTACAACGCATACTACTACTACTACTTAAACTATTTTTTCTGGTCCTTTTCAAGGAAAGCACAGCTCCCGACTTCAAAGTCCATTCTCCGAATTTGGTCTCGTTAATTTTATATCATAAATTGATGCTTTGTCAACTCTAAAAAACATAATGGGATGGATATTCTTAGGTAGGCAACTCTCACCAGGAACGTGAGCAGGCGACGCATCGCTTCGTTTTTACGGGAAAAGAAGGGGGGAGATTAGAATCATTTTGAACTCTCGCTACTTCTCGCTTGGTCAGCGCAAGCGAGGGAGATAAATATATTAGGAGAGGATACTCTCCACGAGTGGATTGCTCGCCGAAGTTTCGGGGCTGACGTTATTCTTTCTTCTAGTACGCTTAACCTAGGGAGACTTTATGTGCGCTTTGCTACCTTAACCCCCTCGGGTCGAAGCCAGTACAAGCGGCACAAAAATCAAAAGTCGGAGGGACTCCTGAATTTGGCACCATTTCCGAAAATAACTACTTTGCGGCCACATAACCTGATTCAATATTCGCCGCCATTTCCGAAAATTACTGATGCAACCAGCATTGTATCACTTATCCCCAGGGGTACGCACCTTTGGGGCAATGCATACCAGCTAAAAAAGCCCACAGTAAAAAGAAATTGAAAAGGGCATCATAAAAAAAATGCGTTAAAAAGTACTTGTACTTGAATTTGAAAGTACATTGTATTTCTAATACTTTACTTCAAGTACACACTCACTGTACCCGGTGTAGTTACGACTTTCCTCGAAGTACATACCACTTGTTTACTTTGTACCTTACCTCAAGGATCTTTCTATGTGCACTTCACCCAACACTGTAATGCATGCACGTTATTTCTGAAGCGCGTCGAGGCACCCGTAAGCGTCCGTTCAGTTCACGTGAACATCTGTTTGAAATTCTACTCAAGAAAGCCGGTAATAGACCTATTGCTAAATTACCCAGGCATCAAGGAGAATGCAGGGATTGGTATTCCACGCGCAACACGTGCACGCCTTCCCCGTATTAAAGATTCGAAGGAAATAACCAAACTAAAGCGTTGACGAACGCGCGTGCAAGATGCAAATTGTTTTAGGTATTTCCTTTAGAAAATTTACTACTGCTGAGGCCAGCACGTGCGGCGCGTGGAACACCAATCCCTGCATTCTCCTTGATGCTTGGGCAATTTAGCAATAGGTCCACTGGAAGTGAACTCCTAATTATCCGCTCACTTATTTCAGTCGTCGGGAGCACCGCTAATAAACACGCAGCTTACAACAAAGCGCTTGCTCATAAAACGGTCTTCACCTGGTCTGGTTCCGAACATCTTTTCTCCGCAACCATTGAGACACCGATCAGGTCGCCGAAGCCACACCCTGCAAAAGGGCCCCTGAAAAGAAGTAAAATCTGTTTTTTAAACAATCTGGTTGGGACACGCGTGTCAAAAAACTAATTTTACGCGAAAAAAAAATATTTTAGAGCAATATTCAAGGGCGAGAGATTTATTTTAAATTATGCGCGCAAAGTCCATGACGTCACGGAGCTCTCTTTACCTCAACGTGATGGCCAAGCCGATCCACCTCTCCTCCACGCGCCCGAAATGCGGAGAGAGATAATAACTGGAAAGGAGGTGACTACCGACTAAATCGAGACTCACGCCGTCAATATTCAACTCTATTTTTTTTTCTCTCAAAATAATGTTTTTACACGCTTGTCCCAACCAGACTGTTTAAAGAAGACTTTATTTATTTTTTTTTCCTTTTTAGGGGCTTTTTAAACTCTCAGTGACGATAGCCCAAGATAAAAATGAAATGCGCACGTTCGCGCTGCTTGAATGGTTCCATCGGACCGCTGAGGTCTGATTTGGCGTAAAACGGAGATTTAGTCTCAGTTGGTGCATACAGTGAATTCCAATCATAAAGCAATTGCTCTTTATGCTTCATTGGTAAAAAAAAAAGTAAAATAAAAGAACAAGCGTAGAAACTACATGGAGTGTTATCTATGGAGTCGATAACATTTATCGTTGCACACAGGGGAACCTGAATTCGTCTGAATCATGCGAACCTGAATTTGTCTGTAGGTTCCTGGCGTAGTGCCCAACGCATCAATTTTCTCGCCGAATTTAGCGGGGAACCTGAATAAATGCATGGGTCGCCACGTCAGTTTTTACGCTAAATTTATCGGGGAAAATGAATTGGTGCATAGGTCGTGACGACAGTTTTTTCCGCTACATTAAGCGGGGAAACTGTTTCCGTGTCAAGGAAACAGGATACCCATATAGCTGAAATCATGAGTAGTAGTAGCCTAGGAAAGGAATATAGAGGGCATGGCCCCTCTGAAAGTAAGCATCACCCTTTAGTCGGTGACAGGTTAAAAGTGAAGTGGAAGCTCTTCCCACCTGTTTCCACTCTGGCAAAGCGAAAGCTTGAGAGGAGGCGACCTCCTTTCCAGCGTTCTCTCTGCTAAAGTGGAAAGAGGTGGAAGAAGCTTCCACTTCACTACTAGCCTGCAACTGACTATGGACCTTGAATACGACATTGAAAAGAATGCAAAACGTT